GGAACTGTACTTATTACAAAAATCATTTGTTATTTCCCACTTTCTAATTGTGCCAATAAGCCAACAAATTTAGTGTGTAAAAATATGATTGCTTGATTTTCAGTAACTTTGTTCTCTCCACAGATCGAGAATTTCAAATTGATTTCTAATTTTTACAAGTTTCAGGGATTTTCCTTCAGTGATTTCAACATTGAAATTCTAAACTAGGAACACATTGATTGATAGTCGGAATATTTGCCATAGATTTTCTTCTTTTTTTAACCATTGTTAAAAATGATTGAAATAATTAAAACAAGGGATATTCATTGACTTATTTTTATCGTTTTTCTTTTCTCTTTTTTTTCCCAACATCTTTGCTGGTCTATTTTTTTTAGCCTTTCCTTTTTTTGTGATCGTGATACCACCTTAAAATCCTTTTTTCATTTTTGCTTTAAAATTTTCCTTTTCTTTTATTGTTTTGCTTTCTTTACCTGCATTTTTATTGTATTTTTTTTTCTTCGTTTCATTATTATATTGTTTTTTGGGGTTTTTTTTAATATGTTCATTTTTACTACAATAATAAAATTTTGTATCCCCACCACCACCAAAAAATAAACAATCAAAATTAACTGAAATTACTTGAGGCATTTTTAGCACAAAGACATGTGGTGATAGAGAAATACATAAAAATAACTAACAAGCAGACCAAAATTTTACGAAATCGAAAAATAGATAATAAAAATCGCCAGGAAAAAACGCCACAGTTTGACCAACCAATCAAAAAGCTTTCACAACCAGGATGTAAGCAAAGACATAAATAACACAAAGTTTCACCATCTCTAAAAATAGTTTAACCATAATAAAAATCGTCAGGCAAACAAAGCCATAGTTTGACCAACCAATCAAAAATGTTTCACAACCAGGGTATAAGAAAAGAAATAAATAATAGCAAAAAAAATTTACTATCTCTAAAAATAGATCGTTTGACCAACCAATCAGAAAGCTTTCACAATCAAAAGCCAGTGAGAAGTGAGTGGCCTTTACAAAGCAGATTTATAGATGTGTATATAAACAGATGGAAAATCAACCAAAACCAGAGTCGATAGATTAATTTTGTCCATTCTCTGATGTTGTGGTCATCATAACATACCCACAGATGAAATATAACATTTGCATGACTATCCTTGCTACAATGAAAACAAACGTACCTTCCTTCACCACATGGTCAACTGGCGGTTACTACATTTGGATTCATACATATATACATACATGCATATATTAACTTTCTCCTAGACTCTTTCTTTCTATCTCTCTTATGTGCCAGGATGTTTACACTTGAGCTCTTGAAACTTCAACTGTTACCTTATACTTCTATATTATTGTCTTATATAAAGATTCATTATGTATTTGTCAACACTCTGTGCATTTTCTTGTAATCATTACACAAGGTCAATATATACCCAAATCAATTATATTGACATATGGTGGGAATGATGTTATAAAATAACTCCTCTATAACTGATAACCTAACTTCCATAGGCAAACACTAAGTTGCTTTTTTTTTCAAAATGAAAGCAAAAAATTTATCCCCATGTTTTAAAATAGTTGCCAAACAGAATTTTCAGTACTTAATAAAGGAATTGTATACTGAATAGTTTATTTTATTAGAAAATTTTATGGAAATGTTTTTGTGGGGTCTGTTTTACCAGCAACTTTTCAATATTTCATGTATTTTTTAATTTTGGGTGGGGGAGCATGTTTGTTTTGTTTTTTTTCCAGTTATATAAAGAGAAATCTTGAAGATGTTATTTCAGTAAAAAATCCATGTAATATCAAGTGCGAACATGCAAAAACTTTGTCCTGAATATTACCAAAAATAATTCAATAAAGCTCAATAAATAAATTATTTAAAATGTGCTTTTTTGTTTTTTTTTGTACCTAGCAAACATGCATGAACAAATTAACAAAAATGCTCAATCACTAACAGTACTACTGTTCAGGGAACAGTATATAAGTACTATCCATGACAATAATGTTACTATTAATGGGCAATCATTCATTTTATCACTTAGTTTTATTTTCATAGTGAAATCATCTGAACTATTTCTGACCAGAAACTATGAAAGAGACCAATTAATTATTATCATTAACAGTGGTTGGCTCACTGCTAACAGTCCTCATTATAAACAATTCATCGAGAGGGATAAACATTTTCTTATCGGAAGGAATTAGTTATTCCCTTATCAACATTAATACATATTAATATCCATCATTTTCATATATGAGAGAAATCATTGGTGTTATTATTTATTAATATACTAACATTAGTACTTAGTAGATTATTTATATATAAATTGGTACCTCTGCCACAAATCCAAAATTCTGTATATTCTGCATAGGGTCAAAGTTTAGTATCTGTATCTTGTGCCTAGGACCAAAATGTTACTCCCCAAACCTCTGTTTAGGATCAGAGTGTAGTATCTGTGCACTCTGGATCAACGTATTGCTCCCCAGCCCCACTGGTGTAGATCAGTGTAGTATCTGTGCACTCTGTTTGGGATCAAAATGTTACTCGTTAACCTTCTGTTTCACGTCAGAGTGTAATATCCATTCACACTGCCTTGGTTCAAAATGCTTTGCTCCAGATCTGTTTAGGATCATTGTGTAGTATCTGTGCACCTTGCTTGGATCAATGTGTTGCTCCCAGCCCACTATTGTAGATCCGTGTAGTATTTGTGCACTGTAGATGGGATCAAAATGTTACTCCTCAATCTTCTGTTTAGGATCAGAGTGTAGTATCTGTTCACATTTATAAATATCTTGACTGGTGCTTCTGCTACATATTTAGAGATTCTTGTTTAAATACAACAAAGAATCTGCCATGTTATTGGTCCTGACCTAGCATTTTGGCTTTAGTCAATTTCCCATCATAATAACATAGCTTCCCTGGGCCTTTTCTATAAATATTTTCCTCTTTGGTACCTAGATTTTATGAATTTAAGTGTAGTACAAGATTGGCAGCAAGGTCACATATTTCACAGTTGAAATGGCTAGATGTAACTGTAAGTTCTATGCTAACAGTTTCTTCTTTCACAATTCTTGCTTGTGGAACTCTTTTCTGGATTCTTACTTCCCAGTCAACTTTGATCATCAAAAATTTAAATGCAATGTCAATCATTATCTTTTGTCTTCTTAATTTCTGTTCTTTTTTTTATTTTCTCTCTTTAATAATGTTTTATTTTTTTCATTCTCTCACATTCAGTAATGCCTTGCATCATAGTGGCTTTATTGCCTTGCTTGGGGTGAAATGATTAAAAAGAAACTGCCTCAGTTCAGAATGTTGCTCCCCAACCCACTGTTTAGGATCAGAGCATATTATCTGTGTATTCAAAGTTTTGCTCCCCAGCCCAGTGTTTACAGTAAGAGTGTAGTACAATAATTTTAATATGCAAAATAACTCTTTTGAAATATTGTTGTAGAGTAGGACCAAGCATAATTCCTGTTCTTCCCTATTACTGTGACAATGGACTGCTCCTACTTATAAATATGGCAAGTAGCCACATTAGAGTAGGATTTGAGTAGTATTTGATTTACTCAAGTTTTTCTATTCTCTGTATGAGTATTTAATAAACCTCTTCTTTCCTCTATTTAGTCTTTTGCCTTCAATACACTATGGCCTTCCTAATTCTCAGTTATTTTGAATAAAGACAACATTACAACAAATATGAAGAATAACAACAACAATTTTGGTGATAGTAATAGTAAGTAAAAGCAAAACCAGCAAAAATGAATGTGGACAGAAGATGTACATAAAGACAGCAATTACAAATGAAGCAGTGAACTTGCAGTATAAAATATTTTAAAATTCAAAGCTGAAATAATAGTAAGTTATTAAGTTACTAAGTCACTCTTGTTTTTAATATTCTAGAAGCCAACATTAGGAATATCAAGAGAGATAATTAAGTGATTTGTGTCTTTGGATTAAATTTCAAATGATATTAATTTTAGTCAATACAAGGGTTCTGTAGGAATCATTATATTAACCTGCTGTATTGGCATGTGTTAATGTAAATCTTTCCCTCACATCCTGAAAGAACTCTGCACATAAAACAAGAAGAATGTAGGTTTTAGAGGAAGAAAAAAAAAAAAAACTTTTTGTGGGTAAAATTCTGTTATTAAATACTACATTCATACAATGGATTTTTTGATATTTTTGTTTTTTTATCAAATCTTTGTTTTTAGGATTTTTTTTCTATTATTCACCCAATACATAGACCAGGAGCCACTCAAGGTAGAGGGTTACTAAATGAGATTGTAAGGGTGTATGGGGAAAGAGCAAGTGGTGCATATCATGAGGCAATGTAGGATAGATAACAGCTAGCCCTTGAAGAGGTTAATATTATAGTGATCAAGAAAGCATCCTCTTGGGAGTACATTCTACAATGCAACAGTTCTGGGGAAGAAGCTATTTGAGTGGAACTTCCTCCTAACAAATGGAGTATGAAGGGAATGAGGATTGATCCTAGCTGTGAAGGTGGAACCAAGAAATGTAGTTTGACTGAAATCTACCATGAAAATAACAATAGAGCAGCAACAGGTTAGCAATGTTTTTTTGTTTTTTTTCTGTGGGGAAAGATATTGTAGGGTGGAAAACAACCATCCACAAAGCAGTGCAAATGCTTTTTAACTCTGTTAAGGTTGGAAATTGAGGATTGGACACCTCCAGCCCAGATGCAGCAGCCATACTCCATTTTTGGCCTGATCTGACTCTTGTAAATACAGAGCATGACAGTTATTTTCTAGAGTGGTACAGGGAACTAAGCATTTTTTAAATGGTTTTAGTGATGCATTTATGAGTTCCATTTGAAGACTGGTGTGTCCCAATAGATGTTCCAGGCAAGGAGAGAATACAGCCATTCATCATGACTAGTGAAAGCTCAGGGTTTGTTTTGTGATGATGGATCACTAGTTTGATTTTAGACATATTGAATGTTACAAGCCAGTTCCTCCCTCATTGGCTTACAATCATATTAGGTTGAAACACTGGTTCCCATACAATCACTGAAGTTAAGCAACATTGATCCTGGTCAGTACCTAAATGAGTGACCGCTTGAGAACACTAGCTTGGATGTGTGGATGGTGTAATGGATGATGGCTTGGAAATGTTAATCAGAGAGCCGAGTTTCAATTCCAGTTGGGTTCATTATATTCAGTTATGCGCAAATACCCTGAGAAAGTTACGAATCAATCTCTTTCCACCCTAACTATGGGTTCATTAGTAAGACATGTATCAGTAAAATTATTATTATCTCAAAAAAAATCTGACAATCTAAAAATACTTTCTGGCTTTAAATAACCTGCAATGGGTTGACAAGCTGTAGAAAACTAATCAATCAATCTTCCCCCATTGATCTGTGAGAACTTGGTCAGAGGAGAGATCAGCTGTCAGGTACTGGTCATCTAGATTTTTGGTGGTGCTCCCATAAACGATGCTATCTGCATATATATTTACTAGTGACCTGAGAATACTTTTTGGCAGATTGTTAATATATAGCAGTACAATGTAATGCTCTGCTTATGATTGCTTTTGATGAGCTTAAATCTCCTGAAATCTTTCAAGCTTAAATCTGCTCCTGAAATTTTTCAAGTGCTGATTGTAAGTTTCTTTTCTACCTTGTGTTATGATGCATATAAAAAGGAATGGATGACAGATGAAATTCTTGACATGATGAAAAGAAGACAAAAAACAATGCCAAGGTATGGCACAGAATATAGAAAAGAAATTAGGAACAAATGGAGGCAGGCTAAAGAGGCTCAGTGAAAAATGTGTAGAAATAGAAAGAATGAGTGTCACAAATAAAGCAGATATGCATAAAAAATTAAGAGAACTAGCAAGACAAAAGGGCTCATTAACAGGATGCATAAAATTCAGGGAGAGGACACTGATATTAGAGAAAGAAAAAGTACGTAAGAGATGGAACAAATACATCATTGGAGAACTCCCACAATGAAAGAGAACATCCATCAATACACAAATATTGAAGGATGAAAAATATTAAAATCTGAAATAGAATCACAACTGCTCAAATTGTAAAGAAACAAAGCAGCATGACCAGACAGAATCATAATAAAGATGCTGGCAGCCTGAGATGATTTCAGCATTGACAAGATTACGGACATAATAAATTAAATGAATAGTGATATACTGGAAAACATACAGTCTATACAGTGAGGTGATGCTGAGAAAATTAGAAGTTCTACCAGGATTTATTTTAGGCAGCCACAATCTTAACATAAAATAGTGTCGATAGCAGACATGGAAAGGAAACTTCAAGGACTCTTACAGAAGTGTTGTAACCTAGAAAAAGGTTACTGAATGAGGAAAACCAAAATGGAGGTTGGAAGTGAAATGGCAATCTTTATAACATGGTGGACTACTTTGCATATTACCCCTACTTATAATAGTGTCCAGCGTATTTATGAGGATTGGGACATACCCATTAGTGTTCATAGGTATGGTATATAAGAAGGTAGTGAAGAAAAGCCAGAAGAAAGGACTAAACATCATTTGCAAAAAGATAGAATGCATGATTGTCTGTAAAAGGAACAGCTCAGCATGAAAATTATAAATTGGTGATACTAAAATTAAACAAGCACAAAAATTTAAATATCTGGGAAGTATTTTAACAGAGGATGGAAAGTGTGACACTGAAATCGCAAGGTGCATTGGAATAACGAAAGATACCTTCCAAAAGTTAAGCAAAGTATTAAGAAACAGGAAACTTTCATTAGAAACAATGAAAAGAGTACTGAACTGTTACATAATATCAGTTTTATATGGTAGTGAATGCTGGACAATCTCACAATGAAGAAGGGACTTGTAGCAACATAAATGTGGCCCTATAGAAAGACGTTGAGAATACCATGGACAGATCATGTGAGCAATGACAAAGTTTTAGAAAATGGAAACAAAAAGAACACTTATACTTAACATCAGGAAGAGGCAATTGACATTTCTAAAGCACATAATAAGGAAAAAGGGCTTGGAAAAATTGATACTCATAGGGCATTTGGAGGCAAGAGGGACAGAGAAAAACAACACACAATCTACCTAACAAGCTTGATGGACTGCAGAACAGAGTTTAGGAGAGATAACAAAAAGACAAAATTCATTAAGAGACACAAAGGACAGGACACAACACATAGAAGTTATAATGCATTATCATTGACAACTGATGATTGTACTTTTCTTGGCTTTATTTCAAGGCATATGAAACCACATTTGAAATGCTTACCCAACATACCACAAACTACAAATTCTGTCACACAAGAATGCTACAATTTGTATTCATAAAAAGAATATAAATCATCCAGGACAATGTTTGTTCAGCATGCATTATGAATATAAAAATCAACATTCTGTACCAACTTCCACAATACCATCATATCTTGTTTTATTTCTTTCCATTCTTCACTTTCTGTAAACAGCTTAAGTGGATTTGACGCCCAATTTTAAACAATACCTCAAAATTTCAATACTTGTTTTTGCCATTTTAACATCTGAAACAAGATGTACAACCAAATAGTATTAATAATGATATTAAATACCTCTCACATACTGGTAAGACATTAGTGGCAATGGTGTTTTCATCTTGCTAATGTATTACCATTATTTGAGAGGTATTTTCTGACACTCTCTGAATAAGAATAATTATATTAATAGTATGTAATCCTAGAGAGTTTTTATATATGTACAAGAAGGCATAAACTTTGGAGATAAGTTATGTAAAAAGTGAAAATACTTTTAATACACCCTGCTAGTATTCTCTGATTTGTTGTTTCTATCATAGCATTTTAGTTGGCATATTCTTCAGCATTCAGGTGAATGTTGAATCTTGTGAATAGTCTTAAATATCTATTTAATGATAGTAACATTTGATATAAATATAAGACTAAATTTTCCATCTGTAAAATAATTGTTTATTCATTTGTGGACTTTGTCAAATTAACATCAGTCAAATCAAATTTGACTGATATTAATTTGACAAAGTCAAGGTTATGTGGCTTCAGGTCTTTCTTTGAACATTTGATCTTCTTGCAGTGCGGTGAGGAATTCTTCTTCCCTTGTAGGTTATGCATTTGTATAACTTCCTGTTATCTGGTTTTCTTGTATGTGTATATCCTAAGTTCAGCTGGGTTCATTTCACTGTTTATGTGGGTGCACCTACCAATGTTTGATCTTGCAATGTGGTAGGGGATTCTGCTCACTGGTTGAAGGGAAAAACTGATATGTTAGTCTTAGATGTCAGAAGTAACAGAAATTGTCCCAGAATGTTATCTTTCTACCCACCCAGATCTGAATAAATGACAAAATATATTGCAAACAGGTTTGAGTCTTCACTTTGTGCAATAGTGTTTATTTTCACTTTTCATTTCCATGTAAGCTTACAATGAGCCTTACCCAGTTTTTGGTACCAAACCAACATAAATCAGAGAATAGAGACAATACATGGAGTTTTGTTGCCCAGTTAGTGAAGAGCAGGGTGAGAGTTTCATTTTATGTTTACAATAATGCCTCTTTTTCTGCTGCTATTTATAAATAGTTTTCAATTTGAAACTAAGCTGTATCATTGAATTAATTTTTCAGTTGAGAGAAATCTGCTGCTTTGCTAATGTCACTCAGTCACTCATTATAGAAATGTAGAGATTGAAAGATTGTAAATTAAATATTAAGATGGGCATGGTTTCCTTCATATTGTCAAAGCATGTTCAAAAATCTCATTATGACTTTATGTATATTTTTATATTGATGCCATTAGATAATGTTTTCATTGGTAAATAATAACTTAAGAAGTATACAATACACAAAAATATTGAAGGATGAAAAATATTAAAATCTGAAATGGAATCACAACTGCTCAAATTGTAAAGAAACGAAGCAGAAGGGCCAGATGGAATCGTAATAAAGATGCTGGCAGCCTGAGATGATTTCGGCATTGACAAGATTACAGACATAATAAATGAAATGAATAGTGATATATATTCATTAAGAGATACAAAGGACAGGACACAACACATAAAAGTTATAATGCATTATCATTGACAACTGATGAAAGAATTTAGTTAATAAAGACTAAACTTATAAAATTTGTAGCAGAACTTCAAAGTTAGAAATTTCTGTTCTATTGTGTCCATTATTAATCAAATCACAAATGAATTAGACATAAACAAACAAGTCAATAAGTTCAATAACAGTGGGCATTTGTTAAGAATATAGCAGTTCAGCCACTCTAATTACAAGTATATGCAAGTGTTTTTTTATTTTTTTTTTTGATTGATTTTCTATGGCTTAACAACCAGTTGCAGATTATTTAAAACCAGAAAATATTTTTAGAGTGTAAGAATTTTTTTTTTGAGATAATAATGGTTTAGTGATACAAGTCTTACATTCTCCTCTATAGCTGGGAAGAGAAGAGGTGGATTCATCTATTTGCATGTAAGTGAATATAATAAACCCAACAGGAATTGGAACTTGTCCCTCCGATTAACAATTCTGAGCCATTATCCATTACACCACTTACACATCCAAATTTACAGCATCTAGTATTCCCAAGTGGCCACCCATCTAGGTACTGACCAGGCTATATGTTGCTTAACTTCAGTGATCGTATAGGAACTGGTGTTTATATGAGTGGTGTGTGTGAGATTATAACATGCATGTATGCGTGAGTCATTACAGTAGTGGGCAAACCTGGCTTTCTATAAAATAGACCTTTGATTGAAATAACTTCATTTCATAAGCAATATGAATTGAAAACATATATCTATCATTCAGAAACAAGAAAAATAAGATTCTGTAAGCGTTCTGAAAGCAAAGGAAATGTTTGTCAGCTCCTCCTGATGAAATGGTAGCTGCAACCATTTCCTCAGTTGCAATTTGATCTTTCATTATGGCCTGAGCTCAGTCCAACTGTTGGTTTGTATTCATATCTTCCATCCTGGAAGACGCGCACAGTAGTTGCTTGACATGCACTGGTAACCCTGCTATGAACCCACATGCTAGTCCTTGCTCGGATATCCTGCCAAATAGACCTACTAGCTTCTTCAAGTTGGCTAGAAATACATCAATGGATTCGTCCAGGTAGTCGGCGTTCCACAAATTGCTCGTAAGCCAAGAAATGATCCGGTGCAAAGGCAATCTGCAGGACTCGTTTTATTTGCTTGACATCTGATTTTTGCTCTGAGTTTAATTGTTGGTAAACAGCAAACGCTCTGCCTGTCAACCTCAGAGGAAGAACATGTTCAACCTTTTTAATTCCACACAGGTTGCAAACAAGTTCTGCTTTCTCAATCCATTCAGTAACTGCTTGTTTGGTCACTGAACCATCGAACTCAGGTATCAACTTGACGTCAAATGTCTTGTCCATCATAGTGCTGAAATAGCTTGTATAGAGACTCCTGCGATGGACTTGTTTTTAATTTAAATGTTCCATCTTCGACATGTCATGCGGAATACGTGCCCTTTTTTGGTAAGTAATTTTCTTTTCCGTTGTAGGATACACGTGACGCACTGTTGCTTGGTTTGACAAGGTAAGTCGCCGTTTTCTTTGCTATAGATTCATACATAATATGACAACTGTTCTGATAAAATATTTTCCTTAGCGCCTTGACTACATCAATTTAAGCATGCTACTAGATTAGCAACTATGTTTCACCATTTTACTGTTGAACTAACTAAATGTAACCGCCACTTCTATTCTAATAGTTTTTCTTGCACTTCTCACCTGTGGAACTCCCTTTTGATTTCTTGCTTCCCTGCTATAATCTTCAAAAATTTAAATGCAATGTCAATCGCCATTTTCTAACAAATCTCTGTTTCTTTATTGTCTTTTCCTCTCTAAAGCCTTCTCATTCTCTTTCATTCCTTCTATCCCAGTGGCATTGTTGCCTTGCTTTGGGGTGAAATGATTAAAAAATATAAAATATTAATATATAGGTAGATTTTCATCTCACTAATAAATTACTTGCATAGAAATGGATAAGACAAAATACATACCATGCTGTCTCATGTGAAGAAAAACTGTCTTGCTTAAGATTGCATTGGGAATTAAAATATGTATTTTGGAGTTTTTCCAAGAAAAATACTTTGATGTTCTGTCCATTGATTAGATAATCATATTTTCTTTTGATTGGTTAGAAGAGATAAATGATGAAATTCAAATATTCTTGTGAGCTGTGATCATTTTTTTTTTTTTTTTTTTTGGCACAGAATTTGTTTAAGCTGAAGAATGTACAGTGTTGCCTGTTATAATCTCCAGGACTGCCAGAATTGAAATGTTTTATTTAATCTCTTGCTACATTATTATATATTTAAAAATAATTTAATTATGAATTTGCTCTTCTGTCTGTATTTTTCTAAAGGGAATAATAGCTTGTGAGAAACTAAAATCTTTTCAACAGTGTGGAAGAGAAGAGGACTTACCTTGTGTGGCAAAGTGAGCACGTATATGCCTGGTGTGCAAAACGAGTGAAGGAAAGGAAAAAGAAATATGGCCGTCCTGACACCTTAATTTAAGAAAGACATGGTCTCGGAGCTAGGAGAATTGGCGAGAGTGGTTTGGCGTAAGAAAACTTTTTGCAAGATCAACTCGGCATAAAGAAACATCATGCGATAAAGAATAGTCAGTAGGTTCATGAACATGTTACTGGTTTCATGGAGAGACTTTGTAAGTTGGGTAAGCGATTGCTTGGATCAGTTTCACACAAACAGTAATGCCTTCTTATGACAAACACTAACATTTGATCTTTAACACTAAATATTTATCATTTCAGGTAAGTTTATGATATTGGTCTGCCAGCAAATTATATCACTTATGTAGTAAATATATTGGAACCTAGACCAGATGTGAATACACTAAATCCAGAAGGATAAAAAACAAGTTACTATGTAGGAGTATCAGTACATAACTCCTGTTTGAAATATATGTAAAATTTTTATTTCAATTACTGGGATGAGGAGTTATTACTATTTACCTTATTTAGAGTACAGTTATTTTTTACCTGGTTTTGCTAAGTCTAAGTCTGTACTACCTAGAGCAAGAATTGAACTCACAATTACTTTGACACCAAATTTACAAACCACTGCTTTAATCAACTAGGCCGTTGTCCATGGGACAATAACTGATCAGTACTAAATAAGGAAAAGACAAGATATCCCTAGATGTTAACAGTCTCTTTGTATAGATTAAATAAAGGGTTCAGTTTACAATTCCCTGAAGGTTACCCAGATTGATTACCCAGAAGATTAGGGGGAACAACTGTTAAAATTTAATGATAGTAGTAACAAAGATGAGGACATCAGTCTGAATGTAAATCATGTAAATAATACATGAAATTATAAGTCAATTTTTAATAGATTTCATAATCTTTCCTTGCAAAAGTTTAAAAAAATCATGTTTCTGATCTACCTGGAAATGATAAATTCAGTTGAAAACAGTTCTTGGACAAGACACAAGAATGTACATCACAGCATATCCTTCCAAAGAAACTTTTGTATAAGTTATCTTTTTTATATATATATATATATATATATATTGTGGTGAATGATGAGACTGAAGAAAATAGCTTTGGATGATTAAGGTTTTATTCAACTCAAAAAGACACATGAGGTGTAAACAAAGATGGCGATTTTAGAACTCTTCTATGAAGGAGAATAATCCCTTAATAAGGGCAGATAACTATAATAATAATATTATTTTATCACAATCACCGCCACATCAGAAAAGAAATTGGGTGTACATGCATTGCAATAAAAAATAGAAATAAATAAAATTGAGTCCTTAAAGTCCACTTATGGTTGGGTGGTTTTACAACTTGATTAGAGCAATGCAGCATTTTTGGGTTATTTATATGTCCATTTGTTGGATGGACAGTTTACTATCACTGTCTTTAGAGGATTGATTTCCAGGCTGGGTTGACATTGGTAATTCCATGGGAATATGAACCTGTCCTCAGTTCCTTTTGGGACTAGTTGTTTGGCCTCATTACCATCTAATTTCCTGCTGTGGGAATATTGTGGGTTTACTTCTAGGAGTTCCATCTCATCAACCAGTGGTTCATGCTTGTTATTCTGGGGATATCATTTCATCAATATTTTACTGCGGTGACTTAGCTATGTGAGTAAGGTGGTCCTATTAGTTGATCGTCTGTTGAACTTGAATAGTCATTAATGTGGTGTGCAGTGCATAACAATGAACGACTAGCATGTAAAGCTTCAGACAAGACTTCTTTCCAATGTGATTCTGGAAGGTTCTTGGTTTTCAGTGCTAGAAGTATTGACTGCTAGATGACACTATTGTATCTTTCTACTTGGCCATTACCTTCTGGATTATAAGGAGCAGTTCTGCTAGTGATAACTCTGTAAATGTTTTTGTTTCTTGTGAAAGAAATGAGGATCCCCTGTAACTGTGGATGTAAGCAGGCATGCCAAATATGGAGAATAGATTGAACAGGCAGCTATTTACAGTTTTAGCTTCCATGTTTGGGCATGGGTAGGCAAAAATGTACCTGGAAAATTCATTTACGAAGGTTAACAGATACCCTTAAAGTCAATGCTCAGAAGGTCAAAAGGTTGAGTGGCTTTGATTAGGTGTAGACCAGATAGTTTGTGGAAATTTGGTTTAATTTTGTTACATGTTTGGCAGTTGGCTATCATCGTGCGGATTTCATCAACGGAGGATGGTAATTTTTTACTTCGAACAAAGTGTATCATTCTGGTTACACCTGGGTGACACAAGGATTCATGCAATCTTAGCAGTTTGTTGTCTGAGAAGGCAGCACAACTGGTTTGTGTGAGGGTGTCTGCTACCACATTCTCTTTACCTTTACGGTACTGGATGTCAAAACTAAAAGACACAAGATTGATTCTCCAGCACAGAATTTTCTCATTTTTTATTTTCCAATGATTTTGTGCATCAAACATAAATCACACAGACTTCTGGTCAGTTTTTAAAATAAAGTGTCTACCAATTAGGAGGTGCCTCTATTTCTAGTTGCCAGTCAGACTGGCAACTATCAGGTTAGTTTTTAGTGTTTGGAAGGCCGACAAGGCCTCCTCTGACTGTGGAAATGTGTAGGTTGATTTAAATTTTTTGATTTTGTCAGAAAATTTCCTGATCCACCTTGCATAATACACAAACATTCCAATGATACATTCTAAGGACTTCGGGTTTTGTGGGGGCAGGTAGTTCCATTAATGCTCACAGACGCTCTGGGTTGGGCTTGATATCCCTTTGGATATGCGATATCCCAAGTGATCAATTGTTTGGGCAGAGTATTTGCATTTCTCTTCATTGAATGTCCAGTTTGGCTGCCTTTTGGAAATGTTAAAGGTTGACATCATGTTTTTCCAAAGTGATGCCACAGATTATTAGATTGTCAACATAGGCATATGTGTCCTGTAGATCATATTTCCTGAAGAATTCATCCATTTTTCTTTGGAAACAATCAGTCCCATTGGTCACACCAAACGGCATCCTGCTAAATTGGTATAGCTGACCCCCAGATTGGAAAGCTGTACAAGGCCTGTCATCAGGATGCAGCAAGATTTGGTGATATGCACTTTTTAAATCTATTGTGCTGAAGTACTTGTACTAGGCTAGCTGGTTGACAGTACTCTCAATGTTGG